GCAACTGTATTTCCTAGAGCTCTGTATTCTACCTTAGCTGAAGACCTTGAGACAGTATTCTACTTCTTTGACTTCCAGGACACCAGTATCCTCCAAACTTGACTACATATCCAGTCACTGATCTTCTAGTGTTTGGACATGTACCCCAATCAGAATCAACATAGCATTCCAAACGGCATCCTTCTGATCTAGTAAGAATGATCCCAAGTCCAAAAGTTCCCTTGAGATATTTGACCACCCTCAGGGCTGAATTCATATGCGATCTTCTACGTCCATTCAAAAACTGACTTAATCCCTGCACAGCAAAGCTTATATCAGGTCTTGTAACTATGAGATATGATAGCTTGCCTATCAAATGTATGTATGATCTTGGCTCAGGCAGCAACAGTTGCAAGTTAATCTTGCATTTCACTCTAAAGGAACTTTAAGAGGTCTTGATGTAGTTAGACCAACATCAGATAAAATATCTAGAGTATATTTGCACTGGTTGAGAATTAAACCCCTCTTTGATCTAGCTACCTCTACTCCCAAAAAATACATTGTTGTCCTAAGTCTTTAATTTTGAATCTGTTATACAGAAACTCCTTAATCTCTTTGATTTTTTTTTTCTGGTTTATTTCCTGTAATCACCAAATCATCAACATACACTAATATTAATGTAGTTTCAGATTCAGTTTGTCTTATGTAAAGAGTAATCATACATACATTGCCTAAAGCCTCCTTGTAAGAGTGCCTCAATGAGTTTAGCATTCCACTGCCTTGATGCAAGTTTGAGACCATATAGAGATTTGGTTAATTTACACACTTTATTTTGTGCAAACTTTCCAAACCCTTGAGGAATGCTCATGTACACTTCTTCCTTCAAGTCCCCTTAAAGGAAAGCATTGTGTACATCCATATGAAAAAGGTCCCAATCATTCATCACTACAATGTTAAGAACTATTCTCACTGTGACCATCTTCACTACAAGAGAAAAAGTTTCAAAATAGTCTATCCCTTCTTGTTGGGTATAACCCTTGGCAACTAATCTTGCCTTAAATCTATCTACGTTACCATTAGCATTGTATTTCACCTTGTAGACCCATTTGCATCCTATGGGTCTCTTTTCCTTTGGCAAGTCAACAAGCTCCTAAGTGCCATTATCCTCCAAAGCTTTCATTTTGACCCTCATAGCATTAACCCATCACTGATCTTTAGCTACTTCTTCATAACTATAGGGCTCAACTATATTGTCAATATTGGACAAAACACATTTATAATCATGTGACATATGTGAGTAGGAAAGAAATGATTGCATAGGGTATTTCACCTTACTTTTACCTATTACAATGTCATCAGGCAGGTCATCACATGCATAGCCAACTAAGGCCTTGAAACAAGTATCATTAACACAGACATAGTCTTTCATCCATGCCGGTGATTTTCTTTCACGTACAGGTCTTCCTAGGTCACTGTCAGGGATCACATCTCCACTATCTCCCCCTTGATTGATACTATTGGCATCTTTAAAAGGAAATTTTGTTTCATCAAAGGTAACATGTCGATTAACAGTGATACTTTGTGTGTGAAGATTATAAAGGAGATATCCTTTCTAGGACGCAGGATACCCTAGAAATATGTAAGGGTCTGATCAATTTTGAAATTTGTCAAGGGGCTACAAATTAGTAGCAAATGTTAGGCAACCACATACCCTTAGAGGAGATAAATCTGGTTGGTGACCATATATCATTTCATAAGGAGTTTTATAAGGTAGTATAGTAGAAGGGTTCTATTTATCAAATAAGTGGCAGTTTTAATAGCATCTCCCTAGAATTTCAAAGGAACGCCGAACTAAAAAACCAAACTCCTAGCTACTTCCAAAAGGTGTCTATGCTTGCGCTTCACAACCCCATTTTGTTGAGGTGTGTAGGGGCAAGTAGTTTCATGAACAAGCCCATGAGCATTTAAATACATTTTCAAGTCAAAGTTAATGAATTTCAATCCATTATCAGTCCTAATCCTTTTAATAGCAACAGAGAATTGAGTAACAGTGTAGGCAAAGAAATACTTCAGATAATGAACAGATTCATTTTTATTTATCATAAGGAATGTCCAAGTACAATGAGACAAATCATCAACAATCGTGAGAAAGTATCTATGACCCATGTAACTGGATTCCTTATAAGGTCCCCAAACATCAATATGTAATAGTTCAAAACAGCAAGATGACTTAGATTTACTAGACGGGAAAGGCAGCCTAGTTTGCTTTGAACATGCACAAACTATACATTTTTCATTAGGATTGACTACATGGACCTCTTTTCTTATTTGATCCAAATATCTGAATTTATCTATAGGGGTATGTCCTAATCTAAGGTACCAAAGAGTTTGTGTTTGCTTAGCAATAGCATGCATGACAGAATCCTCTTTCTTTATCCTCTCAATGATGTAAAGACCACTAATGAGCCTACCAATCTCCCTAGTCCTTCCATGAAGGATTTCCTGCAAAGTACAATGATGAGAATAAAAGGAGACAACAAACTCTTCACTGGCAGTTAATTTAGACACAGACACTAAGTTGTAACAGCAACCAGGTGCATAATATACATCCCTTAAAATTATATTTTCAAGTATCCTAACCGTGCCTATATGAGCAATTAACATTTTATTTCTATTTGGCACTTTAATTACTCTAATAGGTCCTTTATAATTAGTGACAGTGTCAAACATATCCAGACTATTAACCACATGACATGTGGCACCTGAATCAAGGATCCAATGTATCTCAAAGAAGAATTTAGGGAGGCATTAATAGCATCTGAGATTGTTTCTTCTACTAAATCAGTTGTGCTTACAGCGATGTCCAACTGCTCCTTTTACAGTAGCTTGAGGATTTAGTCATACTGTTGCTGAGTGATTGGTGTTTGTCCATACGATGAAGCAAATAAGGAAGTGTTCGGTGGCAGAGGTAGAGAGTTGACCTTGACTTCCACAAAAATTGGGAGGAAATCCTACTAAGTGGTAACAATTCTCCCTCTTGTGTCCCTTGTGATGGTAGTGAGAACACTTCTCCTGAGATCGTCCTCTACCTCTGCCTCTTCCTTGACGTCCTCCTCTAGCACTCATAGTAGCACCGTCCATGGAATGATTAGGAGCATATGAAGACATCATTTGTTGGGATTCATCTTGGGAAATCATCAAATATGCTTGGTTGACTATGGGGAGAGGAGACTGTAGCAAAATTTGGGTTTTGGCCTGCTGATAGTTATTATTGAGATCGGTAAGAAACTGTAGAATTGCTGTTATATCATTTTGGTGTACTCTTAGGTGGTGAGACATTGGCACGAGGGCAGAGGCGCTAGTGCATCGTATTCTTCCCAAAGGTCTCGTAACCTTGTAAAATATTCAAAGACTAACATAGAGCCTTGAGTCAACAAGTTGATAGCTTTATAAATTGCAAAGATTCTCAACCCATCCGCCTTATGGAACTGTTCTTTTAAATCCAACCATACAGAATGAGCACTGGTGGAAAAGATGAGGCCACTGGCAATGCATTTGTCAACCGAATTCACTAACCAAGAGAGGACAATTGTGTTGCACCGATCCCATAAGGAACAAACATTTGGATCCTGTCTCTCCTGAAGGCACACACCGTTGATTATACCCAATTTGTTCTTAGCAAACAAAGCAAGGCGGATCGATCTGCTCCAAACCTCATCGTTTTCAAAACCATGGAGTAACTGCAATACAAGGGTGATAGCCTGTGTGTCTGACAGATGGAGATACAAAGGGTGGATGAAGTCAATGCTCGGTGTTATGGATGAAGTGTTGTCCTCCTATTTTCCCATTCTTTAAAAGATCTTGATTGACAGTAGACCTACTGTGAACGAAATACTGAGAAGGGGGAAGGAAAAAATTAAAAGTAGCTGGCGACTGGACAACCGAATATGATGATGGATCAAGATTCACAGTTTCTTGATCGGTGAAAAGAAAAACTAAACAGGCAGTGAGACCTTTGATCGTGAAACAATCAATATATGAGGGTTTTCTGGTTTTACTTCCAGAACTAGAAATAACAGGGTAGAAATTTTGCTTTCCCTTTGCAAAACGACGATGCAATGACAAAGGAACCAGGGCAAAACAGTGTGCTTCAAGAACTGGACCTGTTATCTTAAGCCCACCTCACAACCTAAGGCTCTGGATACCATGTGAACTTTTTGAATAAGAATGACTATATTGATGATCAAGCCCACAAGACCATGAGTTCATACAAAATAGCTAGGGCTTGACCCCTATTTATACACTCTATTGGGCCAGGATCTAATGACCTACTATACAAAAAAACAAATAAATAAAATACAGATATTAACAAATATTCTCTTTAAAAATTATAATTTAAATAATAAAAATATTCAATAAAAATATAAAAATAATTATAAATGTTAAATGATTAAAAAATAATTAAATAAAAATTAAATAACAAAATATAAATAAAATATAACAAAGAAGTTGGGATAAGGAATAAAATTAAATTCACAAGGGAAAAAAAGGAAGAAAGTATAACAAAAAAAATTTAAAATTTGAATGGACATAAATAGAGTCAATTAAAATGTGAATTTTTAGATGACATATATTTGCTGATTTAAATTTAAGGGAAAATGACATATAAAGAAACCTGAAATTATAAAATGCCAAAATGGAAAGCTAAGCAAATGTATTACTAGATAGGGAAGTGTTGCCTGATTTGGGATTATGCAAATGTTGCACAATTACGAAATAGCCCCTCATGATGCAAACAGAGAAAATGACCGGTAGAAGTGTGCAAGTTGTGGCGGGAGTTGGAGGAAAAACTTGGGAGGGACCATGAACGTAGAAGCATGAACGCGCGAAGCAACAACTGAACGACGGAAGCGAGGTTAGTATTTAGTGACTATATTGTTCGCCTCTGTCTTTTGTCCGTCTCCTTTATGCGCTAGTTGATTTTCCTCTTCCCGTTGGATGGCAATGTAATCGATGTGGGGATGGTTTTGAGGTGGAGAGGGTGGCGAAGCATAGAGACGGCGTGGGTATGTAGAAAGTGTGGGGAAGGATGGTGATCAGAGGGTGAATGCACAGGGAAGGAAAAACACTGACGGAGAGGGGTTTGATGGTGTCACAAATGGGTTAGAGTGATTAGTGTCAGATAAAAGCACAATGTTGGAGGGAGATTCGAATAATGGAGTGGATTGATTCTGAGAAAATGAAGCATTAGTGTGGACAGGAAAGAAATGAGTGTTTTGTAACAAATTATAAGCATGAATGTGTCAAACCCTAAGTTGGTCGTGTAAGTTGATGATGATGGTATTAAGTCATATAATCATTCGACTTCTGTTATCAGTGCAGGTAATGAAGACAAATGAATTTCGAAGCTGGGTCATCTTGTGGGAAGGAGCTGTTCTGTTATTTTCATGTGGGGGGAAATTTGTGACAAATGGTGAAGGTGAAGTGAGATATAATGGAGGTGGCGTGAGGTTAAGAAGCATTAAGGATGGGCCGACACTTGATGAATTGAGGCTAATGATATCTAAGTGGATTGGTGGTAATGGAAGAAATTATGACATTAAGTACACAGCGGCCTTTGATGAGAAGACATTGATTGACCTTCGTGACAATGCTGAAATGTATAACCTCTTTCAATACAATGGGAACAACGATTATGTGTATATGGCCAAAAAAAGACAAGTGGGTCCCCAACCAAGGGACAATGTAGAAATGTAAGTGGAAGTTTGTCCTAACTATTTGTTGTCATTTATGAATTTCTTCTTGTCATTTGTGTTAACGAGTCTTGTCATTATGAATGCAGAACAGAGAATTCATGGGCATGTCACAGCAAACAGAACTGGATGCGTCTCCCATTAGTTTGTGTTGTGATTATGGCTGGCTCAGTGAAGAAAATGCTCGTGAATGTGACAATGACGAAATAAGTGGGCCCCCTAATGTGGATACATCTATCGGAGCTGAAGATACGGATGGTAGTGAGATGGTTCATGCGGAATGGAGGGGACTTTTTACAGGAGTGGGCCAACGTTTTCCTAGTGCAGATATATTTCGGGTGTCTGCATACAAGTTTGCACTTGTAAACAAGTTTGTGGCCAAGTATGTGAGGAATAGCAAGGAATTCATGTCAATGAGGTGTAAAGTTGAGGGTTGTCCATGGAAGCTATGTGCAAATCATGTGGGGAAGAGTTGTGATGTGCTACGAGTGACAACATTTATAAACTGGCATGTTCATTCTGCCCAAGATAGCTTGGACGTGATGCATAGTGGAAGAGCTAGTTTGAACTCACCAATAATAATTGATGAGATGAGGGATCATGCAGACAAGCGCACTTCTGAGATAAGGAAGAGATTGAAACGAGAGTATGGGATTGATCTAACATATAAACAAGCTTATAGAGCAAGAGAGAAGTCATTGGAAGACATATATGGCAGGCCTGAACAATCATACATGCTCATACCATGGGTATGCGAAAGGATAAAGGAAACAAATGAAAAATCCGTGGCTAAATGGACTGCTATTAGGAATCGGTTTGAGCGTGTTTTCATTGCCTACAGGGCATGCATTGAGGGTTTCTTGGGTGGCGCGAAGCATATTATGTATGTTGATGGAACTCACTTAAACGGACCATACAAGGGGACAATGTTGTCAGCTTCAGCTTATGATGCAGATAACGAGCTGCTGCCGTTTGCAATTGCAATTGTGAAGGGAGAAACACTAGATGACTGGACGTGGTTTTTCTATATGATAAAAAAAATCCTGGGTTCTGTGGAAGTAACGATTGTATCAGATCGACACAATGCTATCATCGGAGGAGTGGCATCAATCTTTGGGGGTAAAGGCATGCCTTTTGTTATAGACACATCAAGGAGAATTTTAGTTTAGAAGTTATGAAAATGAATAAGGGGCAAACAAGGACAAATGGCCGATCAAAGGAGGATGCACTATATTTATTGGATAAAATTGCATACGCAAGGACAGATGAGAAGTTTGAGGCAGCAATGGATGACATGAGATCCTTTTCTCCAAGGCTATTTGATTAGCTTATTCATCATGGGGATGTAGATAGGTGGGCTAAAAGCAGGTTCCCATATAAAAGATGGGACAATATTACAAGTAATATAGCAGAATCATTCAATGCATGGATGGTCAATGAGAGAAAGCATACTGTACCCTAATTGATCTATGAGCACCGAGATAAAGTTGCAAGAAAGCTGCATGCCTCCTATGTGGCTATGACCAAATGGAAGAATTGCGTTGGTCCAAATATAGAGAGTAAGGTGCTGGATATGGTGGTTGGGTCTGACCATATGTATGCTAAAAATTATGGTGGGGGAAGAGTGAAGGTGACAACATCACGTGGATCCCTTGTTCCCATGCTTGTGCTGCCATCAAGATTGTGCACGGCAATGTTTATGATGATATTGATAATTGCTATAAAAAGTCATCACAAGAAAAGATTTATGCTCGCAATATGATTCCTGTGGTAACAACAGACATGCCTCACCCAAATGACTACTATAGAATAGAAAATGTTAGTGAGCAAGTTTTCTTGCTACCTACCATGACATCTCGACCACCAGGAAGGCCAAAAGTAAACAGGGATGAATCACAGTTCCAGAACAAACGGATATACCAATGTGAAAGATGCCACCAACCTGAACACACAAGGAGGAATTGTAGAAATCCTAACCCATCATGAAGTTTCGAGTACAGTAGGGATGGGTCATTTTTTGGTGTACATAGTTGTATGCTCCGCCCTTGTCAACTTTTTTGGGACTGGGTTTGTAGTTAGGAGCTAGGTGGAAACATTTTTTTGTAAGTAAGCTGATAGAAATTTCAGTGATAAGGGAGCATTAAGTGTGGCTAGTATCTTAATATCCACTTGTCGTTGAATACATGAAAGGAAGTTACTGTTATGGGGATGTTAGCTTTTGTTAATGGCGAATTACTTGTTATTTTTAAAATTGTTTTGGTCATTGGCAGTTATGCTATCAGCATAAGCTGACAGCCGATGTTAAACTGATGTTATAAAATCAGACCAGGTTATCCTTATCATTATCGTTGTCATATTCGGATCACTTGTCATTTTTAAATTTGTTCTGGTCATTGGCAGTGATGCTATCAGCATAAGCTGACAGCAGTGTTAAACTGATGTTATAAAATCAGACCAGGTTATCCTTATCATTATCGTTGTCATATTCGGATCACTTGTTGTCATTTTTAAATTTGTTCTGGTCATTGGCAGTGATGCTATCAGCATAAGCTGACAGCGTGTTAAACTGATGTTATAAAATCAGACCAGGTTATCCTTATCATTATCGTTGTCATATCGGATCACTTGTTGTCATTTTTAAATTTGTTCTGGTCATTAGCAGTGATGCTATCAGCATAAGCTGACAGCAGTGTTAAACTGATGTTATAAAATCAGACCAGGTTATCCTTATCATTATCGTTGTCATATTCGGATCACTTGTTGTCATTTTTAAATTTGTTCTGGTCATTGGCAGTGATGCTATCAGCATAAGCTGACAGCCGTGTTAAACTGATGTTATAAAATCAGACCAGGTTATCCTTATCATTATCGTTGTCATATTCGGATCACTTGTTGTCATTTTTAAATTTGTTCTGGTCATTGACAGTGATGCTATCAGCATAAGCTGACAGCTGATGTTAAACTGATGTTATATAATCAGATCAGGTTATCCTTATCATTATCGTTGTTATATTCGCTTCACTTGGTATCATTCTCTGTTGGATACCAACAGGATTTATTGAAGTAAAATTTAGTGACCTGAACAAAAAATGGAAACCAATAGCACATGTCCAATGGGGTTGTTGTCATCATCTGTTTTGATGTGGTTAAACTCAGATTCATTCATGTCACTGGGGAATAAATTGGCATCATGGATCTCAACAATCATGCATTTATGGACACCAATCTCTGTTAACCATAACAATACACAGTAAATTTTTGGTCATCCTACAATGCACATTACATACAGCAATCTAACAGAGGACAAGTGAATTATGACCTTAACATCGAGACACCTAAGACCGACGCCTTTTCTTGGACTTTGTGCTCTTGGTTGGTTGTGGTCGTCGAATAAGGGCCAATGCCTCGTCATGTTTTTCATTCTGTTCATGATTCACCAACCACCATGTCAGGTCACGACGAAAGCCAGCAACTTCTTCCTCTGTGTAGGTAAGGGTCACACCAGGTTCCTATCTTCTCAGCCACATCATGCAGTGCACCCCACAATCCCTCCTGTGGACACAACAATATCAGCACAGTTAGTTAACACATCTGACATGTGCATTTACCACACAGAAATCGAATTTGACAAAACTGACAGGTTATTCTGCTGGGGAACTTCTGCAAATATCATGGGAGACATTGGCTTTTTCCCAACCAATCCTGGCTTGACCAAGTCCAGTATAATATTGAACCTCATCCTCTGCAACAAGATTCAGGACCAACATAGAAAGTTTAATGATTTTCCAAGTTCAAAAACTAGGGTAAAGATAATGAGTTTTTTCTTACACAGTCATCCACAGCCATTTCCACTGGGTCTTTGATGACAACCTTCTTCTTCTTCTTTCTGTCCTTGGTTCCCAAATGGTCCCTCATGGAGTCTAATACGTGGAAATCCAATGTGCTAGGCTGAATGGCAACGCAAAACCAGTGTTGGCCAACAAGAGCCAGACCAATTATGAAATCACATTCAGCTAAGTTGTAGCCAAGGAACTCAGGAAGAAAGAGCTTCTTATATTTTTGGGCTTTCCAGGTTGGATCATGTGCCATCATGTTCTGCATGACATGAAATTGTTAATCCATTAACAGAGAACAAGTCATTTCCAATTCAATTGCTGTCATTGGTATTTGCATTCGGAATTATGCAACCTCACCATGAAATCCACATCGAAAATGTGCCTCTTCCCTGGCCCCAACTCTACCTTCATGTCCTCCATCACTGCCTTGCACACCAAATTAAGCACCTACAAACACAAGTGAAAATGTCATTTTGATACAATAATCTCACCAAACATTATCAAACATAATCATGGGTGCAGGGACAGAGCATTCTAAAATACCCTGTTATTTACTCTGTTCACTCCACCCAGGGAAAACAGCTGTTGTCGTCTATATCTTCATCAAACATTTTGATGACAGTCCTGCAAACATTGTCAGATGTCAGTGACAGAAAGTATGGTGTTGGGGACATCATTACTTGTCATCCCCATGTATTTTATTGTCATTTTCAATTCTATTGCTGTCATTGTCAGGGCACACTGTGTCATTTAAAAACAAAACGCTAGCTAGGGATATACTTACATATTCCCCTCTTCCTCTCCCTTGGGTCTACGGGATATTAAAGTGAAAAAGATGTCCCTTTCCTCCTTTGGCCTCTTCGTCCTCGGAGCTGCCTTGAATTCTATCCACGGAGATTTAATTGTGGAACTCTTTGCCCTTGTTGACCTCCTAAGGTCAATCGATTTTTCAGGCCCTCCTTCCTCCCCACTGTCACTACTCACCCATTCGCGATCCAACAGCAAAGGAACATTGGTAGGGGTCATTGTCAGTACATGTGTATCTTCCTCACCCTCATCATCTGAATCCCGAACCTCCTTATCATCATCTTCCGCCTCCTCAACCACATAATCATGACTGACTTCCATGTCATCATGGTCATCTTCCTCCTCATCAACCACATGACCTCCTTCCCTGTCATCATGGTCATCTTCCTCCTCATCCTCATCGTCATCATCATCACCTCCATGACCATCACGGTCACCCTCATCTTCCACCTCCTCAACCATGTAATCATCACTGACTTCCCTGTCATGAAGGTCATGTTCTTCTTCATCCTCATCCTCATCCTCATCCTTCTCATCATCTCCTTTGTTGGTTTCATCCTCATCAAGTTCCTCATCTGTACTTCTCGCTGCAACCTCTCTTGCAATCTCCTCCACCACTCGGTCAACATCATCAGCTTCTTCAGCATCGTTACCACCTGCATCACCAACTGTTTCAACCCCTTCTTTAGTAGTGGCATTCTCATTCCCCATCCCCTTAACTTTGGCGTTCAATCCAATCTGCAGTTTGAGTAGCTCATCATCAAGAGCCTTCATTAACGTCCTCTGGCTTTCTTCAAGCTTTTTCACAAAACGAGCCCTCAACTCCTTCAACGCTGCATACACAGTAAATGAAGATATCAAAAAAATTGTTCACTGTTATCGAATGCCAGTATCTCACTGGTCATTTGTAAATAAAGTCTTGTCATCTCAAGTATCAACCTTGCTAATAGACTAACTTAAACTCAGGTCACGTATATTTTCTAAGTTCCCACATACCGGATCTAAAGACTGCAGAATTGGACTGTCCTCATGTCCTGCTGAGTAAACCTCACTGCCACTGCTTCCATGCAATATTCCCATGCTGCTACCTCTCTCTTTCTCCACCCTCTCCTTTATCTTCTCCTCGATCCAATATTCAATGGGGCTTGTTGAACCCCGTCAACAGACAATCCCAGCGGGAAACGCTCAGCAAAATACAACTGCAAAACCAAATAAAGATAGGTCACACTTCTGCAACAATAACATAAAACAAAAATATAGTGAACCATAAGAAAAATATTGACTTACCAGCAGCAAATAAAGACACCCTCCAACATTGCAGGTTCCTTTCTTCTTCTTCTTTGTCATCTTCACAAAGTCTCCCATTTCCTTCCACAGGTTCTTGATTATGTACGTTGACCAATCATATTTCCCAAACCCATCCATCGTGTGACGCATCACTTTCAACAAACGTATATGTACAGTTGTGCTTGACCCAGGACATAAAAAAGCTCCAACTGTATAAAGCATAAATAGGAACTCAAAAT